ATTCTCTTGCCTCAGCCTCCCAAGTAGCTGGGACTATAGGCACCCACCACAACGCCCGACTATTTTTTTGTTGCAGTTTGGCCAGGGTGGGGTTTGAACCTGCCACCCTCGGTATACGGGGCCAGCGCCCTACTCCCTGAGTCACAGGTGCCGCACTGCCCAGTTTTTCTATGGTTAGTAGAGATGGGGTCTCACTCTTGCTCGGGCTGGTCTTGAACTCCTAAGCTCAAGCAGTCCACCCCCCTTGGCTTCCCAGAGTGTTAGGATTACAGGTGTGAGCCACGGTACCCTGCTTAAAGGCCATTCTAAAAAATACCTGAGGGTGGCACCTGTGGCTCAGTGAGTAGGGCACTGGCCCCATATACCAAGGGTGGCAGGTTCAAACCTGGCCCAGGCCTGCTAAAGCAACAATGACAATTACAACAACAAAAGAATAGCCGGGCATTGTGGCTGGCACTTTAGTCCCAGCTACTTGGGAGACTGAGGCAAGAGAATGCTTAAGCCCAGGAGTTGGTGGAGGTTGCTATGAGCTGTGACACCATGGTACTCTACCCAGGGTGACAGCTTGAGACTCTGTCTCAAAAATAAATAAATAAATAAGAAAAAAAGCAGAGAAGTCCTGATGGTGGCTGGAGTCCAGTTAACATCAACCAATGTTAATGTCTTAGTTTTGATAGTTGTCAGGTATCAACTTCAGGAGACGCTACGTGAAGCAGATATGGGAATCATCTGTACTGTCTTTGCAACTCTTCTGTAATTCTGGGGAAGACAGTGTTTTAAAACAGTTTCCCTAGTGATTCTGGACTCGAGTTAGTTTAGCTGCGATGCCCTGGACCTGCCCCTTCCTGGCTGATTCTCATGGCCCCTATGGACATGTCCTACCTTGGTTCCAGGTGCCGTCCCGGGACGTTTAACCTGCAGCCTCACAATCCTGCCGGCTGCAGCAGCTGCTTCTGCTACGGCCACTCCAAGGTGTGTGCGGCCGCCGCCCACTTCCAGGTGTACCATATCCTCTCTGACTTCCACCAGGGTAAGAAGTGCCCCCTGCAGCCACCTCCAAGGGGCCGGCTTCCACCCCACCCTGCTCTGGGGAGATCTTGCATTGGGGGGCTGGGTGGGTATGGTTTGTCAGCCATTGTGGAGAGGAGCCCACACAGCCTTGGTGAGATGTATGTGAGATGGTGGCTCCCCAGTACCTACTTGTGACCCTTGGGTTCCTCCCTGGTCCCTGATTTTTTTCTTTATACTCACGGGTGGGGGTCAGTCACAGTGGCTCATACCTGTAATCCCAGCACTCGGAGGCTGAAGCAGGAGGATCCCTTGAGCTGAGGAGTTCAAGACCAGCCTGAGAAAAGCAAGACCCCATCTCTACTAAACACAGAAGAAACTAGCCAGGTGTTGTGGCAAGTGCCTGTAGTCCAGTTTCTTGGGAGGCTGAAGCAAGAGGATCACTTGAATTTGAGGTTGGGTTGCTGAGAATTAGGACACCACAGCACTCTCCCTAGGGTGACAGAGTGAGACTCTGTCTCAAAAAAAGAATAAAATAAAATACACTCATGGGTAGGGGCCTGGGATGTAGCACCCTTTGGATCCTGGAGAGGGAATTTCTACTTACCCTGTCAAGATTGACCTCCCTTGGGGTGTCTACATGCTGGGTTGGGAATTCAGGCTCAATCTCTGGGCCTCAACTTATCGGGTACAAGCTCTATGCTAGGCACTGTGGCCGAGCTCCTTACCTGCATGGAATCTCATTCATCTTTTACAGATGAGGCAACTGAGTCCCAGAAAATGTAGGTCACTTGCCTGAGGTCACATAATTCAGGCGTTGGTGCCAGGGTTTTACTTTTACCCACTGGGCAGGCCCTCTGCCTGGGACCCCAAATCCAGGTGACATAGCCACATCCTTGTGGGTCCCACAGAGCTCCCCCTCCTCCTACATGGCTTGAGGAAGAGCTGGGAGTTGGTCGGGACAGAACCTTAGGCTGGCTTTGGGGAGCCCAGACCTGGGGGCAGTGCGCCCTCTGCTGGACACTGTGTAGAAAGCAGGACCAAGGAGTTTGTGGGTCACTGTGGCATGTGGGCAGAAGTCCCCGTGTCAGTGTAGGACCAGACTAATTTTCTGGCGCCTGAGAACAGTGTCTTCATCTGTTATTACCTTGAGCCAGACCCTGGTTAGGCACTTCAGGGGTGTCATCTCATTTTGTCTCATAATCATCTTTGGCCAGCAGTTCTCAGACTTTTTAGTCTCTGGATCCTTTTATGTTCTTTTTTTTTTTTGTCTTATGAGACAGAGTCTCACTTTGTCACCCTGGGCAGAGTGCCATGGCATCATAGTTCGCAGCAACCTCAAACTCTTGACCTTAAGTGATTCTTTTGCCACAACCTCCCAAATAGCTAGGACTATACACACTCACCACAATGCTAGCTAGTTTATAGAGACGGGGTCTCACTCTTGCTCAGGCTGGTCTCTAGCTCCTTGGCCTTGGCCTCCCAGAGTGCTGGGATTGCAGGCGTAAGCCACTGCACCTGGTTTCCCTTTATGTTTTTGATCATGAAGGATATTGAGGACTCCAAAGTGCGTTTATAACATTTTTTTTTTTTTGAGACGGAGCCTCAAGCTATCCCCCTGGGTAGAGTGCCATGGCATCACGCTTACAGCAACCTCCAACTCCTGGGCTCAAGCGAGTTTCCTGCCTCAGCCTCCCAAGCAGCTGGGACTATAGGCCACAACGCCTGGCCATTTTTTGGTTGCAGCCATCATTGTTGTTTGGCGGGCCTGGGCTGGGGATTTGAACCCGCCACCTTAGGTGTATGTGGCTGGCGCCTTAGCCACTTGAGCCACAGGCGCCGAGCCCAAAGTGCGTTTATATAAGTGAGTGTTTTACACGGAATTGACTGTTTTGGAAAAGAAAACAGTAATTTTTAAATGCCTACTTATTAATTCATTTTAAAACAGCCTTAGTGGGCTCAGTGCCCTGGGCACAGTGGTTACAGTGCCAGCTACATACACTGAGACTGGCAGGTTCGAGCCCAGCCCAGGCCAGCTAAACAACAATGACAACTGCAACAAAAAATAGCCAGGCATTGTGGCAGGCAGCTGTAGTTCCAGCTACTTGGGAGGCTGAGGCAAGAGAATCACCTAAGCCTAAGAGTTTGAGGTTGCTGTGAGCTGTGATGCCACTTCATTCTAACAAGGACGACGTAGTGAGACTCTGTCTCAAAAGGACAAACAACAACAAAAAAACCAGCCTTAGTGAACCTGTTACATAGTAACAAAAATGACAGAGTCTCAAGCTGTCGCCCTGGGTAGAGTGCTGTGGCATCAGAGCTCATAGCAATCTCCGATTCCAGGACTCAAGAGATCCTCTTGCCTCAGTTTTTCTATTTTTAGTAGAGATCGGGATCTCACTGTTGCTCAGGCTGGTCTCAAACTCATGAGCTTAAGCAATCCACCTGCCTTGGCCTCTCAGAGTACTAGGATTATAGGTGGGAGCCACCACACCCAGCCTGAAAGATAACTCTTTCTAAAAGACAGAACAGAGGCTGGGTGTGGTGGATCACTTCTGTAATCCCAATACTCTGGGAAGCTAGGCAGGTGGATCACTTGAGCTCATGGGTTCGAGACCAGGCTGAGCAACAGTGAGACCCCTGTCTCTAAAAAATAGCCAGGCACTGTAGTGGGCACTTGTAGTCCCAAGCTACTCAAGAGGCTGAAACAAGAGGATCTCTTGAGCTCAAGAGGTTGAGGTTACTGTGAGGCAACTCTACTGGGGGCAAGAAAGTGAAACTCTCTCTCAAAAAAAAAAAAAAATTAGGCCCAGTGCCCCTAGCTCAGTGGTTAGGGCACCAGCCACATGCACTGGGACTGGGGGCTTTGAGCCTGGGCCAGGCTTGCTGAACAGTAATGACAACAATAACAAAAAAATAGTTGGGCGTTGTGGCAGGTGCCTGTAGTCCGAGCTACTTGGGAGGTTGAGGCAAGAGAATCGCTTAAGCCCAAGAGTTTGAGACTCCACGGCACTCTACCCAGGGCAATGTAGTGAGACTCTGTCTCAAAAAAAAAAGAAAAAAAATTAAAAGACAACATCTCGTGAGAAGAGTACTGCTCACTTCACCTTTTTGTGAATCGTTAAGGTCTGGTTGAGAGAAGCCACCTAATTCTTACATCACCTTCTGCCACTCAGACTGTGGTGACGTCATACTCCTGCAGCTTCTGTAAGACTCCACTGAATGTTGATGAGAGAAAAAGAATAGGAGATGCAAATAGCATCTTGTTACTAAGAAGATAGTTTGATTTCATGGGCTCCCCAGAAAGGATCTCAGGGATCTTGAGACCAACTTTGAGAAATGCTGCCTGGGACATGTGTATTTCATATCCCCCATTTTTTAGGGAAGGAACCAGCTTCAGAGAGGTTAAGTAACTTGCGCAGAGTCACACAGCCTGCAATGGGCAGGAACTAGTCCAGCACCAACAAGCCTGGGCCTCCCCTCTCTGACATCCTTCCCCTCTCTCTATCCCTTCCCTCAGACCTATCCAGGTATTAGGTTTCCAGCTGTCCCTGAGAGTGCCCCATGAGATCATTTGCTCTATACTGGGCTGTGTCCCATGTTAACTGCCATGGTCAGAGAGAGGAGAGGAATGAGCCAGCACTGGGGACCAGGAGGCCTGGGTCTTCCCTGGCTGGGCCCGGCCCTGAGTGCATGGTATTAATGACATACCTACCAGTAAGGACAGCTTGGACAGAGGTCAGGTAGGTCAGACATACCTACCAGTAAGGACAGACCTGTGACAAAGGTCACAGCTGAGGAAGTTCTCTGAAGCCCTGACGATGGATCAAGTCCAATACTGCTACTGGTAGTCCTGATGTCCCTAGATCCCCACGTGAGGGTCTCTAGGTTGTGTCTTCGTGTGGAGCTCAAAACCTCCCTGAAGAGACGGGGCAAGCCCCAAGGTCTGACCGCACCCCTCGCAGAGCCTCCTGGGGCTCCCTCCCTTGCTCAGACCTCGCTGCAGCTGTCACCTGGAAGCTACCCCCAGGGCCTCACAGTGATGTGTTTGCTGTCTAGGAGCGGAGGGCTGGTGGGCCAGAAGTGGAGGGGGGTCCGAGCATCCCCCACGATGGAGTCTGAGTGGGATCCTGCTGAGCCCAGAAGAAGAAGAGGAGCTCACAGCACCAGGTACCTGCCAGCCTCAGGTGGGACACACTGCCCTGTGTTGGTTTCCTCAGGTGCTATGACAAATTGCCACAAAATTAGTGGCTAAAACAGCACAGATTTACTCTATTAGTATTTTGGAGGTCAGAAGTCAAAAGTGGCTCTCACACAGCTAAAATCAGGGTGCCTGTAAGGGCCATGTTCTTCCTGGAGCCTCCAGGGGAAATCCGTTCCTTGGCTGTCTGAGATTATAGAAACTGCCGGCATGTTGTAGCTTGTGGCCCCTTCATCTTCAGAGCAGGCTGGGTCTTTCTCATGTCCCCTCACTGATGTGGACTCTCCTGGCTGCCTCTTCCATCTTGAACATCCCAAGATGTCCTCTCTACCTGGGGTCAGCGGTTAGGATGTTGACACCTTTGGGGGTTGTTTCATCACAGTGTGTGATGAAACCCCCATTTTCCAGGTCACAGCCTTGCCACCTAGGTATTCTTTAATGCCACATAGTCCCCAGGGGCATGAGATTTATGTAAAAGGAGGCAAGTCCTTAATCATTGTGCGCCCACCCCCACCATTCAGGGCAGCTTGGGTCTCCTGGACATTGTCTCAGTCCCAGAGCCAGGAGCTGGGGCCCATTCTTAGCTCTGCTGTGGACATATTTGGGGTCTGCTGGCTGCCCTGGCCAGTTCTGCCTTCTCCCTCCCCACAGCCAGGAAGCAAAAAACCCTCAGGTTCCTTCATGGGGCAGGTGCTCCAAGCTCAAGCCCATGAGCAGAAAAGGTGCTCATGGGCTCTGTTGACGTATTTGAGAAAAAGGAGTTTTTCATTCCAGTATTGTTTTCTGGGCTCTGTGCTGGGTGCTGGGCACACTGCAGTGGGTGAACCACATGGATGCCCTGCCCTGCCCTGCAACGCTCTTGGCCGCAGGCCCCTGGGGCTCCCTGAGCCAGTCAGGGAGGGAATGTGGAAATAGCCCTCTGGGCTGGTTGGTGACAGGTCTCAGAGTTAATGAACACACGTACCTTCTGGCCCAGAAGGTCCTTTCAGTGTTCTGCCTGCAGGTGTCTGTACTGGGGTAAAGATGCGTAGAACAGGTGTGGAGCAGTTCGTAAGCGTGCAACCCTGAGGTCTTCCAGCAGGGGGCGCTGGTTCGTCCACTGTTGGGCTGTGGTGTGTCCATTACCGAGACATGTGTGTGCGTGCGTGCAGAACAGCATGGACGTTCATCTCACGTGTCCAAGGTGTGCAGAAGAAGTGGCAGAGTGAGCACTGCACACGCATTGGTGATTGACTCTGGAGGCTCAAACTGGGGGATAGCTGGGGCGTGTCCACGCATTCCTAGGACTCCGTGGTTGGAGACTGCTCTCTGCTCTGGTGAGCAAATCCAGCCAGGAAATGCCCTTGGGCAGAGGGACGCAGGGACTGTCAGCTTGTTCAGGATCTTCCTGCAAAAGCTGTGACATAGTGGGCTGCAGCATTTGAGGGACCTGCTGCGGAACTGGAGTTCTTCCCCAAAATAGAGGGGAAGTGCCATTTAAGGTACTAAGATACGTTTTAAAAAGTGCCTTTTTCCCCTGTGGTTTCCCTGCTTGATTTGGAATGGTGTTTTGGGGGGAGTTTGGGGGTTTTATTTTTTATTTATTTATTTTTGCTATTTGATGCCATTCTTGGTAAAGAAAAATTAACTTTTTAAGTTGTTAGCATGAATTTTAACTTTTGCTTTGATAGCATGCAATGCTGATGCAAGCAGATATCAGAGGATTCAGCTCACATGTGGAATCACTGATATCAGAGGATTCGGCGCACATGTGGAATCACTGAAATGACATAATTTGGTTTTGGTAACTCATACACAGTTGTGTATTTTGTTCTTATCAGGACAGTGGAAACATTGCACAAAAAGAACTCAAGTTTTTATTTGGCTTCTTGATAACGCACATGTTCTGCCAACCCAGTCTGCCTTTGGCTTGGTTGTAAGGAAAGACTGCAGGAAAAGAGGAAAGAAGGGTGGCCTTCCCTCTCCTCCTCCCCCTCTTCCTCCTCCTCCTCTGCTTCCTCCTCCTCTTCCTCCTCCCCCCTTCCTCCTCCTCCTCTTCCTCTGCCTCTTTCTAGGTCATAATTTTCAGCATGAGTGGTTGGCTGACACAGGGAAGTAACACGAGTAAGAAGGAATCACATAGGTCTTCTTGGTCATCTATGATTTTCAGAACACCTGTGACTTCATTCCAAATTCAAAGCAAGTTCTGAACAGAATGGGAGGTGGGGCCTGGTCCTGGCAGTGTCTCAGCCTAACCAGGCCAGGGTGTGCTCACTGTGCCCTTGCCTCCCACACGTTGGGGGGGCCATAGGAATTCTGTGCTCATGGGCCATTGTGAAGGTTACATGAGTGGATGGCAAGGCTCTGAGGTCGTGTATATTGTGTCTCCTCTGCTCAGACTCCACTGTGCCATCAGACATAACTTACAAACCCAAGTTCAAAGATAAAATTGTTAAGAATGTCAAGATGAGGGTGGAGCCAGCCCCATATGCCAGAGGTGGCGGGTTCAAACTCCGACCTGGCAAAAAAAAAAAAAAAAAAGAATGTCAAGACGGGCTTGGTGCCCGTGGCTCAGTAGTTAGGGCGCTGGCCACATACACTGGGGCTGGTGGGTTCAAACCCAGCCCGGGCCTGCTAAACAACAATGACAACTACAACAACAAAATAGCAGGGGGCGGTGCCTATGGCTCAGTGAGTAGGGCCCCGGCCCTATATACCGAAGGTGGTGGGTTCAAACCCGGCCCCAGCCAAACTGCAACAGAAAAATGGCTGGGCGTTGTGGCGGGAGCCTGTGGTCCCGGCTGCTCGAGAGGCTGAGGCAAGAGAATCACCTGAGCCCAAGAGCTGGAGGTTGCTGTGAGCTGTGATGCCACGGCCCTCAACCGAGGGCGACAAAGTGAGACTCTGGCTCAAAAAAAAAAAAAAAAAAGAATGTCAAGAGGCTGACAGCATAGCATGAAACCAAGCATGGGGCCCAGTGTGACTGCAAGGGTCACACACAGGTGAAACTAGGGAAAGACAGGCTATAGATGTGGGCTGGCCACCCCCGGGGTCTGCTGTGCAGAGTGCCAAAGATTTTCTACTGGCTGTAGTTACTTTGTTTCAGTGTTTAATTTCCAATAAAATCAATTGAGTTACCTCAAACCAATCTACCTATGTGCAGACTGTCAGAGCTTTCTTCTCTTGTCTTCAGAAAAGTTCCTGGGAGACCAGCGGTTCAGCTACGGGCAGCCCCTCACACTCACCTTCCGGGTGCCTCCTGGGGGTACCCCACCCCCTGTGCATCTGAAGCTGGAAGGGGAAGGCTTGGCCCTGTCTCTGAGGCACTCCAGCCTGTCCAGCCTGAAGGACACTGGGCAACCTGGGGAGGCACAGCTCAGTTTCCTGTAAGTGTCCTCCTCTGTCCTGAGAAATAGGGGTCGGGTGGCCCCTGAGGTCTGGGCCCACTTCACATGCCTCTGTGGTCCTTCTCAGTCCCTGGTGCCACCTGCCATGGCAGACTGTCACTTTGACTGCTTCCCCCTGCCAGCCTGCAGGAGACCTCCGAGGATGTGGACCCTCCGCTACCCCCGTTCCACTTCCAGCGGGTCCTCACCAATCTGACCAGTCTTCACATCTGTGCCAGCCACCACCAGAGTCCAGGCCCTGCCGGTCAGTGATGACAGCAACATTCCCTCAAGGCCTAAGCACTCACCCGGTCCTGCGACTGGGCTGGGCTCCTTTGGGTATGGCCTTGTCACCTTCTCACAGCAGGGTAGTTATTGTCTCCATTTTACTAGGAAGGAATTTGCAGCTCTGAGAGGTAAGGACACTTTCCCAAGGTCATGTAACCCATAAAGGCAATAGGGATGATGGCTGAGAACAGAGGCAGGGTCTGGACAGGTGAGGGGCCTGAGGATGGACAGCTCTAAGGGGCAGGTATGTGGCTGCTGAAGCAGTGGAGAGAGTGGACCACCTGCCTCTGTCCGCCCGGGTTCCCCTGGGAGCGTGGCTCCCCTGCTGGTCGCAGTATTGCACCCAGGCCACCCTAAGAGCTCAAGGTATCACATATCCTAGGTATTTGACACAACCTCCCACCCTGGTCATACAGTGATTGGCATGGTTATCCTCTGACCTGTTCCTGGTGATAACCCACCTGTACGCAATGTAAAAAATCAATATAATGTCCTAACTGTAATGTACAGAATACATAAAAGGGAAAGGAATGATATAATCCCATGGTTTCCAAACTGTCAGTGCTCTGTCCCATGACTGCCCTAGAAGATGTAGGAAGTGGTCAGAGCTTCCCTGCTGTAAGGAATAAGTTTGGATTTAGGAGAAACAAGAAACTCAGAAGCCATTTACATACACAGAGGGCAGGGCCAGGGAGACAGTGTCTGGGTGGCTAACTGGCAAACAGGGACTAACCGTGTCAGCAGCAACTGGGGAGATTTACATGAGGAGTGTGGTTTGTCAGTGACAGGCAGGCCAGGGCACTGCCACCTTCTTACAGAAGGTTCACCTAGGCTGGGTGGCTCTGCTGCTTTGCTGTGTAAGGAGAGAGCGCTGCTTGGCAGAGGAAATGCTCGTTTATGGTTAACACTGTAAAACCCAGTTTCAACATTCAGTTGAATGTGGTTGACCCTTATCATTTAAATGCTTTGTATTGTCATTTTGAAATCATAACTAAATGGGAACTAAATCAAAACAACTAAGAGAGCGAGGGCTACTCTTGAAATAGGTTGTAATGGCGATGGTGAATGGCTGCTGGGAAAATTCTGAGCAAAACAAAGTACAGTATTTCCTCCACCTGCAGGACCCCTGCATCCCTGGACAGTTCCATATGCACCTAAAACATTCGCACGGGCCTCGTAGCTGGGAGCAGTGGCGTACACCTGCGGTCCTGGCTACTCAGGAGACTGAGGCAGGAGGATCACTTGAACCCAGGATTTCCGGAGACCTTGGCTTTATGTAAAGTGGAGTTGGGGTCTAGGCTCAGATGTTTACACAGGAGTTTTTCTGCCCTTTCAAGCAGGACATTTGAAGGTCACATGGGGAGGTTTTCCACATATCCAAGTGATAACCACATGTCACCCACCAAGGTTGCTGGGGTAGGGGGCAATTCTGCTCCTTTTGAGAAATTCTGACTGACGTGGCCAGATTTTCCCAGGGCCTCACTGAGTCTAAGGGCTGGGGGTTACAGCCCGACCCCCAGGGCCCAGCTTCCTCTGCTTTGGAGCTGTGGTGTAATTGCCTCCTTCTCAACCTCAAGCTCCTGGGCTCAAGAGATCCTTCTGGAATCCACAGGTGTGTGCCACCACACCTGCCTAATTTTTCTATTTTTTGTAGGGATGGGGTCTCACTGTTGTCCAGTCTTGTCTTGAACTCTCAGGTTCAAGTGATCTTCCTGCCTCAGCCTCCCAGAGTGCTGGGATGATAGGCGTGAGCCACTG